GCATCCTTCAACAGTGCCACTCAAGATAGCATGTGATAAGAGTGAGCCATAAAATCTCTTTACTCTCCATCTTCATTACCATAAAAAAAGGAGGGTCTAAGGGTTGACAACTAAAGATGAACACTGGTCTAGAAAAAAATAATCCACCTTTGGTCTAGCAATATTCACATTGTTCTTGGGCAGTACAGTCAGAAACAATCCTAGGAGATAATCGACTTCCAGTCTGTGCTGTATGATGTTACAAGAGAAAATTCAGCTCTTTAGCAGGTGGAGAGAGGGTTTACTGTTTCATATTTATGTGTAACTTACTTAAGGGTTAAAATTTTCAGTTGCCACTGGGCTGCTGTAGCTCACAGCTATAATCCTAGCTACTTGGGAGGCTGAGATGAGGGGGATCAGGGGTCGATCCCAACCCCAGGGAAATAGTTCATGAAACCCCCATCTCCAAAATAACCAGAACAAAATGGATGGAGGTGCGGCTCAAGCAGTAGAGGACCTGCTCTGCCAGTTTGAAGCCCTGAGTTCAAACACCAATCCTAGCACTGGAGAGAACTAGACTGCAAAGTATGGAAAAAAAAAAAAAAAAGAAAGTAAACATTTCTACAAATGGATCGCAAGTTTTAGTCACAGAAGCTTTCAGGTCAAATAATCACTAAAACTTCTCAAGTGATCAGATGTGCTATACAGTAAAAACAATCTTAAATTTTGACTTCTTATACCTCCTGATTGGCAAGGATTGGCAGGCAAACTATGGCTCACAGAAAAAAAACAGACCACCTGTTTTGTATGCCCTATGGAACTAAATGTGGGTTTAATATTTTTTTTTAAAGCAGGAGAGTTTGTTGAGCTAGAAAAGAGTAAAGTGGGAGAGTAGAGCCCCCAGAGTTGGGGGGGTTACAAGAGAGGGTACCCCGTGTTTAATATTTTTAACAAGTTGAAAAATAACCAAAAGAATATTTTGTGACACAAAAATTGTTTGAAACGAAGTGAGGTGATACACACCTGTAATCCTATCCTCAGGAGGCTACGGCCAGGTATTGAGAGTTTGAGGTTAGCATGGGCTACGTGGGGAGACCCTATTTCAAAAAACAACAAAAATTATATGAAAGTATTGGCTCTAGCCAAGCTTATTTATTTAAATTATCTACTTATGCATTTATATTACAACAGCAGAGTTCAATAGCTGTAACAGACTGTATGGCTTATAAATCCTAAAATATTTGCTTATCTGGCCCTTTACAGAAAGTTTGCCAACCCCTGCTTCAGACAGGTCTTTATCTATGCTGTCCAATTCAGAAGTCACTGGCTACATGAGGCTATTAGAGCACTTGAGATATGGTTAACAGTGACTGAAGAACTAAATCCCAATAGAAATTTAAATAACCTCATGTGGCTAGTGGTTACCGTATTAGATAGTACAACTCTAGACTCTTCTCAAGTCTTATGTATTGACAGTTTTTAGCTCCTGAAGATCTCACTCCTGTTCTGTGACATACCACTCTAAGAATTCTTAGTACCTTTCTCCCCAATTTTTCTCATTCCAAGCTAGAATCTTTTTACTAAGATTTCTTTCTGGGTTCTCTTATCCTTATAACTGAAATCCAGCATCGATCCATTTACTACATTTCATCCCATAAATTAAACCACATTGTGTGCACATATATAAATGGACATTTACATAGGTTCTTTGTGTCAAAGGATGACACTGTGGCTATGTTCTTTCTTTTCTGATGAAAGAAGTAAAAAAGCTCTCCTCCACATGCTGGATCCCTCATTGCTGCTGGAACCTATGATATGGATCACCTCCTTCTACACACATTCACAGAAGCTGAGAACGGCAGATGTGTACTTGCTATTTGAATCTCAAGGAAAAAAAAGACATCACTAGACTTTCTTTCCTCCTCCAGACCTAACAAATTGAAGTTCACTGATTTCTCTAATTTAGTAGATGCTTGCTTTTACTGAACAAGCATTTAGCTGAACAAGAGAACCACCCCCACAGTGTCTCAATCTTGGCCAGCTGCTCTAGCAAAGGCATTAAAAAAAAATTTACTAAATGAGCCAGATGCCAGTGGCTCACACCTGTAATCCTAGCTACTCAGGAGGCAGAAATCAGGAGGATCATAGTTCAAAGTCAGTCTGGGCAGACAGTTCCAGAGACCCTATCAAAATACTCAAAACCAAGAAAACAGGACTGGGGGAGTGGCTCAAGTGCTATAGCACCTGCCTAGTAAGTGTGAGGCCCTGTGCTCAAGCCCAGTACTGCCCCACCCCCCCAAAAAAAAGAACTGGATGTGTGACTCAGGTTGATAGAGCTCCTGCTTTCCAAGCATGAAGCCCTGAGTTCAAACCCTAGTAATACACACAAAACCCCCACAACTTTATAGTCACTTTTTAAAGTTTTTTTTTTATTTTGGTACTGGAAATTGAACTCATGACCTCATGTTTGACTCATGCCCCCAGTCCCTTTGCTTTTAGTTTGTTTTCAGATAGGGTCTTACATTAACTTTGTCTAGTCTGGCCTCAAATCTCAATTGCTACCCCGCCCCCTACTAGCTGGGGTCACAGGTGTGGGCTACCACTCCTGACTTGTTTTTAAGAGTCTTGCTGACTTTTGCCTGGACTGGCCTAGAACTGCAGTTCTCCTGTGGCTACATCCTGGGTAGATGGGATTATGGCATGTGCTACCACTCTGGCATCAAAAGTAATCTTTAAAGTAAATTTTTCACACTAGGAAAAAAGTTGTTTCTGTAAACTTCCAGTTTAAAAAGAAAAGAGGGGACATTTCATTCTCTAAAAAACAAAACAAAAAACAACAACAAAGCCCTTACTCTATTCCAAACACCTCACTGCAAGGTCTTGGTCTCATAAAACCCTGATAGACAAAGTCTCCAGTTAGTTTCATATGTACCCTATTGTGAGCTTATATAAAGGAGACTGACTCCTGCCTAGAAAAATAAAAACAAAAAAGCTGATTCCTTTAGGTACTACACAAACTGATAGTAACTGAACTCAACCATCCAAAAGGGGACACATATTTAGGCTGAAACAGAAAACCAACTTAGAAATGTGAAACTTCCTCAGGCCAAACTGTCTCAGAGTTATAGGGTCAGAGGGAAGTGTTGTAAAGCACTGGCAAGCTATTCCTGGGCATGTTTGCACTCCAACTGGTAAGAATTTCCACTAGACTTTCAATTATGCTATTCATCACTGAGCAACTGAGGGACATCTACCCGCAAGCTTCTCCCACACTTCCTCCCTGGTGTTCAGCAAATAAAAGAGAGACCTTATACTACCATCACCACTATGTGAACTAAAAAGACAGGCTTTCACAGCCTAACCATGAAAAGGAGAAGTTTCCATGTTACTCTGCCATTTACTCATGTGACTGCAGCTGCGTATTTTGGATACTTACTGAGGGGGGTTCTTGTAAACTTTCTTATCACAGCAACGAAATGACTGCATAACCTATCTGTTGCAGCTTCTCATGTTTTTCTTTAGGTATGCACACACAATCTATCTAGGTGTAAAACTGACAGACTCTGCTGTACAGACTGTCTTCAAATAAAAGGCAGAGAAACTTTTTTTTCTTGTTCCTAGGCTCTTCACCTTCTGCTTTTCAGTTTGATTTTGGTATTAAGAGAGCTACAGCCAGGCACTGGTGGCTCACACCTGTAATTCTAGCTACTCAGGAGGCAAAAATCAGGAGTATCATGGTTTAAAGCCAGCCCAGGCAAGTATCATTCAAGAGACCGTATCTCAAAAATACCCAACACAAAAAGTGGTAGAGCATCTAGCTAGGAAGTGTGAGGCCTGAGTTCAAACTGCGGTTCTGGTGAGGAGGGGGAGGGTACCCAACTCCAGCACAGAATTCTGCTTGGTAGACTATTAACTACACAGTGAACCCAGTACGCCTTCATTAATAGAAAGGTCTGCAAGAGGTCAGAAAGAGGCTTTTTTTTCCCTAAAGACGAGCCATTGGCTGTCCTTTCCCACAGAAGTTGAATAGAAAAAGAAGAGAATACTGCATGTTTGCATCACTAGGACAAGAATCTGGTGGATTTTCCCTGAAACCCAGAGTGATCAGGCACTGCAGAACCAATGATATGCAGCAAGCAGAGTTCACAGTTGAGTGAACATCAATGTATAATGAGTGAAGGTATTTCAATGCAAATAAATGTGAATATGAAGGATTAAAGAAAGGGGAAATTAATCTTTTTCATAACACAGAACACTTTTTTCTCTCCCTTGCTCTCCTTTTTTTTAAGTCATGCACACAACTGCTTTGAAGGAGTCCAATTTCCCCAGTGTGGTGGAGTTGTTTTATAAAAAGCAGAACATAAGATCATGAATTTCATGCCAGCAACTGAGATTCTGATAGTTTTCCCTCTTCCGACAGTTTCCCTTTTCAAAACAGCCTCAGAAACAAAATGGATTAGATTTAAGTCTCATTTCAAACCAACCTCTTGCTTTTCCAAAGTCACAGCTTCTTGGAAGTGGCAGGTTTAAGAAGGCTTGGTTTTAGCATTTGGGGGTATTTGGATGCATTTACTGAAAGGATTTTATTTTTCAAATTGTTTCTAATTGCCCCATGCAACTGATGCTTTTGCAATACCAACAAAATAAATAGGTCACCTTTATGCTACCTTAACAAGTAGCTCCATCTCTTCCCAATCTGATCCTTCCATGCCCTGGCTTCCCAAACTAAAAGACAAAGTGGAAGAGCTTCTCCCAGTTATTGTTTCAGAAAGAACATAACATGTGGTTACTCAGCTTTTCACTTCAAGGGATGTTGGACTAGAGCAAGAAATGTTTTTGTTTCATCACAAGTTTGGATTAAACACAAGCATCCTAATACTCTACTGAACTACCACTTTGAAAAGAAACTTTAAATCCCAGGGGTCCCTCAAAAAGTTAACAATTTTCCTAACAACAAATACAAATCTCAGAGAGGAAAGTAATTTCCAGTGTGTTCCTTTCTAAGAAAAATGTCAAAGACCTAGAATTTTTAAAGTAAGTTTTTATAAATAATGTATTCAAAGTTTGACCACTACATAAAGAATCCCATCCTTTAAGAAAAATATACAGATTTTGGAAAGAGTTTAAATTCTGACAGACTTAAGCCTGATGCCAAGCCGTAAGATTTCTAATGCTTCAATTCCGAAGGACCAGTTGATACCAATTTTATTACACAAAATTCCATTATGCTGCATAGTCCCTCTTCTCCTGGGTTAGACAGCTTTATTCTGCTTCATTAACCCCTTCTTTGCTCCTTGATGGATCTTGGAATCCAGTTTCCCTGTAAAGGAGAAAAAGAAGCCTCATTATTTTTTATTTGCAATGCTAATCTTTCATGGCCTCTCAGGACTTCTGGTTACTGTGTTCCTGTCCCATTCAATTATCTTGCTTCAGGATTCAGACACTTCGAAACTTCAGAGGTTCATTTTGTAAGAATAAGGGAAGCAGTGGAAACACTGTACAAAGATGAACACACACATACACACAAATGAGTATTTGTCCAAAAAAGCCTTAAATTTATATTTTTAATTTTGTAGCTCCTAGAAAAGAAACATCTATTTTTCAGGGTATCTGATGCTAAGGCAAATTTTTTAAGATTTTAATTTTTTAAATTACAAATGTAATAAAGCATTTCACACAGTGGGCAACCCATTCCAAATAACCTGTTAACTGGCTGAGCATAATGCATGAACCTCCTTCACAGTGGGAGAATCAGTTCAATTTACCCCTTTCCTGCCTCAGACTTAATAGGGGGAGTGACCTGGAACAGTGGAGTAGAATCCACAGTGAATGGTTTGCTGACAAAGGGCCCCTATCACCAGCTAAGAAGAGTGAAGGTCATGCATAGGCTGTATGACTCTTCTAAGTTTTGAACTTAGAAAACAAGGCTGGGGATGTAGCTTAGCAGAAAAGCACCCATCTAGTAGTATGCACAAGGCCCTGGGTTGGACCCCTAGCACAGCAAAAAAATAAGCAAACAAAATAAAAAAGTAACCTTCATTTCCCAGGTGATCCAAATGAGATATATCTTACTGATGTGATCTCTGAACTCTCACTACTCAGATATACCAGAACAGTTTGGTTCAGTGGTAGAAGCCTGTGGAACCATGCATTTTGCAAAGAAAATCTTAGGAATTCCTGTCTTGATGACTTGAGAAAAGAGCTTGCAATTTTCTTTCTCCTACAAAAAGCCTCATTTAAGTCTATACTGATGCTAATGCTAAAATTAGAAACATAGTTCATTTAAAGAGCTTTGTGTATATTACAAGAGCAGCCAGGTATACTATGGCCCACATCCATAACCACTGCTAGTCATAAGCTGTCATTTTTATTTGTTGGGCAATTAAGTGTAATAGAAAGAACACTTCAACAAAATTAGAGATAAGGGCAAAATAGTTTCTGCTGGGTATTGAGGGGGTGGGGGGAGAAGGAGGGGGTGGAGTGGGTGGTAAGGGAGGGGGTGGGGGCAGGGGGGAGAAATGACCCAAGCCTTGTATGCACATATGAATAATAAACAATAATAATAATAAAAAAAAAAGAACACTGCAATGGAAGTTAAAAGATCCAGGTTTGGGGCTGGAGGTGTGGCTCAAGTGATAGAGTGCCTGCCCATCAAGTGCAAAACCCTGAGTTCAAACCCCAATATTGCCAAAGTGGGGAAGAAAAAAAAAAAAAAAAAAGAGAGACCCAGCTTTTAGTCCACCCTTCTCTGGTATTAACTAGCTATATGAACTGGGGCAAAATCATTCAATCTCTCTGGATTTCAATGGTCTCATTTGTGCTCTTAAGAATACTTGTCTTGCTGGGCACTGGTGGCTCATGCCTGTAATTCTAGCTATTCAGGATGCCGAGATCAGGAAGACAGGTTCAAAGCCAGTCTGGGCAGAGAGTTCAAGAGGCCCTATCTTTAAAATAACCAACACATAAAAGGGCTGGTGGAGTGGCTCAAGGTGTAGGCCCTGAGTTCAGTCCCCGGTACCACAAAAAAAAAAAAAAAAGAAAGAAAAAGAATACTTGTCCTGGGCTGTAGTGGTTACAGTGGTAAAGCACCTGCCTAGCAAGCATGAGGCCCTGAGTTTAAGCCCCAGTACTGGGGGGAAAAAAACATAAAAAAGCAAAAAATAACCCCATGTCCCAACCAGTGCACAAGGAGACTGGGAAAAGAATAAGCTCACCCAAACAAGTTTCCCTACTAAGTTTCCTTCCCCTAATCTCTTTAGGGCTACACATGCATATAGAATAACATTAGGTTTTTTTCCTAGGCTTCTTCAGAAACCATCACTAAGTAGTACCCTAAGTGCCATCCACAACAGTCACAATACTTTTTGAGTATAGGGCATTCCCAGAGATTTAGTTCTTTCATCCCATAGGCTGACTTCCTGGAAATCTGAATGTGCCCCAGCCTTCTGGTGAAGAACTCTATTACAAGGCAAGTTTTCTTTTGTATCTCTAACATTAAACATGACTGTTTAAATGGCAGGTGCTCAATAAATGCTTTCATCAAACAAATTTAAATAAAGAAGGCAGACACTACAAATTTCAAAACCTTTATATAACAGTAACTCCTAGGTAAGCCAAACCAGCAGATATTAGATAACTATATTGTAAAAGATGGTGGTACTCAAGTACAAATAAGTATTAAGTCTTGTTCAGATTTTTAGAACAAGCTAGAACAGAATTTAGAATTCCATTCAAGAATCGAGATGTCCAATTCTCTGTACTGAGTAAGTTAGAAGATAGCTCTTAGTTTTATTCCTGAGACTACCTCTAGCTTTATAGCTTTGAGGATGTTATCTCCTCACTCTTGTCCTTTTATTCTGCTCTTAAGAGGAAATCGAACTACACAGACGTGATGGTTCTTTCATTTTTGTACCCTAAAAATGAAATGTAAATTGGAAAAATAAAAAGAACAAGAAAACTAGAGCCAGAAAGACTTGAGCAAAACTTAACTTCTGTTAACCTGCTTACTGAACTGTAAAATTAAAGGAGAAAAAAGACCCTACTAACTCAGAGTTGTTAAGAATATAGCAAACATTACGACCATTATGTTGTGCTTCTTTTTTTTAGTGGTACCAGGAATTAAACTCAGGGCCTCACACTCTACCATTCAAACCAAGCCCCTCAGCCCACATTATGTCGTTTTTATGTATCAGGCACAATGCAAAGTATTTTACTTACACTAAGTCATTTAATCAAGTAACTAATTGAAATAATACAATTGTTCTTCCATATCTGTGGAGGATTAGTTCCAGGACCTCTACAGATATCACAATCCACAAATGCTTAAGTCCCTTATGTAAAATGGTATAGTTTGCATATACCCTACATCTTCCTGGCTACTTTAAATCATCTCCAGATTACTTAGTTGTTTGCTATACTGTTTAGAGAATAATAAAGAAAAAGTTCTGGCTGGATGCCAGTTGCTCATGCCTGTAATCCTAGCTTCTTGGGAGGCTGAGATTGAGAAGATCAAGGTTCAAGGCCAGGAAAAATAGTTTGACAGACCCCCATCTCCAAAATAACCTGAGCAAAATGGACTGGAGGTATGGCTCAAGCAGTAGAGGGCCTGCTTTGCAAGTGTGAAGCTCTGAGTTCAAACCCCACGGGCAGGGGGTGGGAAATCTGTACATGTTCAGTACAGATGTAATCTTTTCCTCAAATATTTTCAATCCTTGACTGGCTGAATCTACATATTAAAAAGCTCCATAAGCTCAAAGTCACCTTTAAATTGCTACACAATTTCAGGTAAGTCTTTTAACTATATGTCAGGTTCCCCATATTAAAAAAAAAAAATAGTTTAAGAGAGCCTATCTCCAAAATAACCACAGCAAACAAAAAATCCCCCCAAAACACAGATAATACTTTCTTCACATTCTCAAAGCTTTACTATGTAAGAACACCACAAACCTAAATTTCAGAAAGCTCCAGTATGGTTGTGAAAGGCATCAATCAAGTAGGACCAGTTTAGGTAAAATCCAACCCATCATAACAAAGAAATTAATAGTAAGAAAACTAATCACTGGCTTCAATGATGACATCATAAAATGAGAAATTAACAGGAGGAAGGAGAAACTAGAGTAACAAGGACTTCCAGGCCGTTTACAGGAATTCAGAAATTCTTTCATCCCTTGGACTGCCTTAAAAAACCCAGAAGGTGCCAGGTGCCAGTGGCTCACATCTATCATTCTAGCCCCATAGGAGGCTGAGATTGGGAGGATCACAGTTCTAGCACAGCCCAGACAAAGTTCAGCAGGCTCCCATCGTGACAGAAAAAGCTGGGCATGGTGGTGCACACACCTGTCATCCCAGCTACTTAGGGAAGCATAAATAAGAGGTTGAGATCCATGCTGGCCCAGACAAAAAGGGAAACCCTATCTCAAAAATACCCAGAGCATAAAGGGCTGGAGACATGGCTCAAGTGGGAGATTGTCTGACTAGCTAGCACAAAGCCCTGAATTCAAACCGCAGGACCACAAAAAACAAAAACAACCAACCAAAGAAAAACTAGACATGTGCCAGCAATCTGTGAACTCTTTATAATCAAAGCTGGGCACTGGTGGCTCACACCTATAATCTCAGCAACTGGAAAGACTGATATTGGGAGGATCAAGGTTCTAAGTCAGCCAGGTAAATAGTTTGAGAGATCCCAGCTCCAAAATAACCAAATCAGGGCTAGTGGAGTGGTTCAAGCGGTAATAGTGCCTGCCTAAGAAGCTTGAGGCTGAGTTCAAACCCCACTGTTGCCAAAAACAAATAAAATAACCAGAGCAAAAGACTGGAGGTGTGACTCAAGCAGTAGAGCACCTGCTTTGCAAGCACAAACGGCTGAGTTCAAACCCCAGTCCCACCAAAACATAAAAAAGAAACAAATCAAAAAACAAAACAAAACAAAAACCTCTTCATAATCAAGGACTGTTTTATAACTTCAACATTTATCAGAGTGACTACCAGTACTAGTAACTCTTAGCCTGATACTATCGGCAATGAAACAAAGGACTTGGGCTTCTTATGAGAACAGGCAGCTATAGGAATTCTGGTCTATTAAGTTGCGATCTGGATCGTGAATTACAGTGACATACAATATATTCTCTTAGTAGAAAAGTGATAATGCTTAGCTTCTGTATTTCCCCAATATTTTTACATTTAGTACCTAAAGCATTTCAGTGTTAAACCGCATCTTCAATCACAATGCCTAAAAGAATAACTTTAAGTGCATGTGCAGCAGATGGGCAAGCAGTAACAAGGGGAAAAAGGTATTTGCTGTCAATCCATATAACTCATAGAAATTTCACACACTTTGCATAAGACATAGGCAGTATTTGCTAGAGTTTATAGAGCATATAGTTAAAGTAAAAAAAAAAAAGAATTCCCAGATGGTGTATTGAACACTGGTGGAGCACCTTCCTAGCAAGCACAAAACTCAGGTTTGGCCAGGTGCTGGTAGCTCAGGACTGTAATCCTACCTACTCAGGGAGCAGAGATCAGGAGGATTTCGGTTTGAAATCAGCCCCAGGCAAATAGCTCACAAGACCCTATCAGGAAAATATTCAAGATAAAAAAGGGTTGGCAGAGTGGCTCAAGTGGTAGAGTTATCTGCCTAACAAACGTGAGGCCCTGAGTTCAAACCTCAGTGCTGCCAAAGACCCAGGCTTGACTCCCAGAACCATTTGAAAAAAAAAAAAATTCCATCATCTCTTTGAGTAGTCAGTCTATACATTTTACTATGCTTAGTTTCTTTTTCATTTCCTAATTTGAACAGACATGAAGCCAAATGACATATTGCACATTACTCTTTTCTGAATTATTTCCATTTCTTACTCTGTGTATGTTTCAAGAAAGGGTCTCGCTATGCATGTCAAGCAGTCCTTGAATTTGCTATGTGGCCCAGTCTGGCCTTTGAACTCTCAGTCTTTCTGCCTCAGACTCCTGAAGACTGGGATTACAGGATTATGTCACTATATCCAGCTTTAAATTATTTCAACTTCAAGAGACACAATTACACCAAGGTCAAGCAAGCTCAAGTTTACATGTGCAAAAAATATAAATCAGCTGGGTGCCAGTGGCTCAGTGGCTCGGTGGCTCACGCCTGTAGTCCTAACTACTCAGGAGGATCATGGTTCATAGCCAGCCCAGGAAAATAGTTCATGAGACCATATCTCAAAAAATCCTCAGGAGAGGGAGGGGGCGGAGTGGGTGGTAAGGGAGGGGTGGGGGCAGGGGGAAGAAATGACCCAAGCCTTGTATGCACATATGAATAATAAAACAATAAAATAAATAAAGTAAAAAATAAAAAAAATGAAAAGTATCTAGACTTTGCTTCAGAATAATTTAAAGAGAAGTGGTGGAGCATGGAAGAAACAAGTTTGACCGTGAATTATCATTGTTGAAGTTAGATGAGCTCTGTGTGCTTTTGAATGTATTATAAATTTTTTCATAATAAAAACTTTTTATTAAAACTTAAAAAAAAATAAAATTAGATTAAAAAAAAAATCCTTCACAAAAATAGGGCTGGTAGAGTGGCTCAAGGCGAAGGCCCTGAGTTCAAGCCCCAGTACAACAACAACAACAAAAAAAATCAAAATATATAATTAAGTGTGGTGGTACATGACTATAATCCCAGCACTCAGGAAGATGAGGTGGGAGGATAATAAGCTCAATACTAGCCTGGGCTACACAATGAGACCTGGTTTCAAAAAAGAAAAAGAACATCATCAAAATATATACCTTAAATTTAAGGCAAATACATGTGTACACATTCATGATATAACATATTAAGTAATATGTTAAATGGGGCATGTTCTAAAAGTCTAAATGGGACAAGTCAAAAGTTTGGAATTTGGAATATATTTTTCTCTCTCTTTTATATTTTAGATAGGGCCTCTATGTAGCCCATGCTTGCCTCAAACTTGTGATCTTCCCACCTCAGCCTACTGAGTGTTGGGACTAAAGGCATGTGCCCAGCAGAATATATTTCTCATACACTTAACTTATGAAGGGTGACTAGTTTCTTAAGCGATTACACACACACAATTAAGCCACAATGCTATAAAGTATTAATAATGTTAATATTATAGCATTTGATCACTTCACATACCACTGAGATTAAAACCCTTTTCTATATCTCAAGTATTGTAGGTTCCCCCCTCAGGGCCTCAAGGAAGGGAGTCAGGCAAGTGAAGTTTTATAGAGATGATAATTTGGAGTGAAAACTAGGAGAGGAGTTATAGGGACGGAAATTTTACAGCAGATTCTCAATAGAAATTTTTTGAGATCCACAGAAGTTGGCTAATTACTATCTATTTTTATTATTTATTTATTTTTGTATTTTGGGGTTTGAACTCAGGGCCTCACACTTTCTAGGTAGGCACTCTTACTGCTCGAACCCTCTACTAGCCCTTTTTGGTGATGGGTTTTTTTCAAGATAGGGTCTCCGAACCACTTTTCCGGGACTGGCTTCGAAATACCATCCTCCTCATCTCTGCTTCCTCAGTAGCTAACACTTACTGTTTTTGGCCAATGTTTCACTTTGGTTTACCATTAACTAAAAGAAACAAGATAGGAAGAAAAGAAACTTATTAAAGCTTTATCCTAACAGCATTATTTCTCTCCATCCCTTATAAACCTTAGGAGAAAAATGAAGGTTATATATGACTGAAGGTGGGTCTCTGGATAAGGAAAGTATTAAAGTAAAATATTTCAGAGAAATATCTAAATACTGTTTATACAGAATATTTTCTTACAGGAGCTTAAGCAGCAGATAATCCAAGATAGGAGAGGAAGCTAAGAAAAGGGAACTGGGACCAAAGATCAAGTTAGAGTGGTTTGAGGGGAAGACTGACCATCTTTTCTTTCCTACCACCACTGCTGCCACCAGACTAAGGTAAAGAAGAGAGGTAGAATGCCACAACTAAAAATGAGGGAGAGTATAAGAGAATTTTAAACCCCAAATAGTGAAGAAAAAAGAATTTCAGGGCCACCTGAGAATCAACTGAATACATATAGTGGAAATATCATGTATGAAAATGGAAAAATGAGACCTGTTGAACTATTCCAGAAATGGGGGAAGGGTGGATAAAGGAGAATGATGGAGGGGGGTGAATTCAACTATGATATATTATAAGAAGTTTGGCAAATGTCACAATGGGCCCCCGGTATAATAATACTACTACTGATAATAATAACAACAACAATGGAGGAGGAGGAGAATACATTCTGAAGTAAATAATCTATGTAAGTCAAAGGCAACTTTGTTTATATTTTCTGGCTTGTAGGGATCTCAGGAAAACATGTTATCAAACATGCCTGCATTCTGCAGGGAATACACATTAATCTAAATTCATACTGCCAGCATTTCATTTTGTGATGAAAAGCAATGTTACTTAAAAGTGTAATTAGCTGGCCAACGTGTTTCATGTGAGAGCAGGGCTCAGGAATCTGTTTTAACTAAGCTACCTCGATTTTGATTTCCGTTGTGGTTTCAGAATTACTTCTCTTGAGAACGGACTTATAAAATGGCTAGGGGGGGCCCCAACATACAGGGTGAGACAGAGGTGTGCACAAGGGAAGACAATGCGTATCTCACAATTATCCAGTTCAAACAATGGGAAAGCAGTAACATGGAGGCACAAACAGTAACTGATATGAGCAAATTTTCCTCAAAGTAAGTTAGGCAGGGAAGACACCACTATAGGTTTTTTGAGATTGGTTTGCAATAGAAGAAGTTATTCTAGGACTAGACAGAGAATGAGAAGTTGGGGGTCAAAGAAGAGTTATAAGAAAAAATGTAAAGTCAATAAGCACTTCCTGAAAAGGGAATATGCTGAAGGTATTATAGTCACAAATGCCTAAGAGCAAAAGTCATACAAAAAAGTAATCATTAAGAGAGGTTCCAAAAAATGTATCAGAGCCTATAATCCCAGCATGGAGGAGGCTAAGACAGGAGGTTCTTGAGTTCGAGGCCAATGAGTGCTACATAGTGAAACCTGTCTCAAAAAGTGAACAAATAAACAACAAAAGCAAGAGGGTTAGGGCAGCACTGTAGAAACCAATAATGAAGGGAAATAGGGGAAGTTGTGTCTCAAAAATAGATGCTCAAAAATAAAGGTTAAGGGTTAGAGTTGTAGCTCAGTAGTACATAACACTTGCTTAGCATGTATGAGACCGTAGGTTGAATACCCAACACAGAAAAAAATGTAAAAAAAAATACAAATATAAGCTGGGCACTGGTGGCTCACACCTGTAATCCTAGCTACTCAGGAGGCAGAGATCAGGAGGATCTCAGGCCAAAGCCAGCCCAGGCAAAATAGTTTGAGAGACCCTATCTCAAAAAAAAGCCCATCACAAAAAAAGGGCTGGTGGAGTGGTTCAAGGTGTAGGCCCCGAGTTCAAACCCCAGTACTGCAAGAAAAAATATATAACTATAAAAATGAATACTTAAGATGTCATCTTAGTCTTAAATTGAATACTGAAGAATAATGGATAAATAACAACACTGCCACTTGACATTGGCTTATTACTTACAATGATTAGCAGTTCAGCAGGGCAAAGCATATATTCTACTGGTTGACATACAGCATTTTTTGTTGTTGTAATGTTAGACAGGATTTCACATTATGTAATCCAAATGGCCTTGAACTCACAGTTCTCCTGCCTCAGTTTCCCAAGTGCTGGGATTATAGGCATGCCCCCACCATACACCTTACTCACTAAGAAACAGCATTTTAATGTTTAATGTAATGGAGTCTTTTTTTTTTTTTTTTTTTGCAGTATTGAGGTTTGAACTCGGGGCCTCAATACTTGCCAGACAAGTGTGCTACAGCTTGAGCCACGCCTCAGTCTAAGAGCCCGAAATGGAAGTTTAGAGTGATTCACAATTATGCCAACAATTGTGGATCAAGGTACACTTTAGAAAGACTATACTGTAATTAATGTGACATTAAAGGTATTGGTAAATACAATTACAGTAATCCTCCAACACTAAGCACGCCAAAGAACTTTTTAAAAAGTTAGACAAGTGAGATCAAAGACAAAAAAGAAAATTAGACCATCAAAGATTGTGACTTACAGATTTTAGGATTTCCTTTAATAGGAAACTTCACAATCATTTCCTGAGGATTTTTGCAGATGAAAACAAATGGAGAATCAGATTCTTGACTGATATCTGGAAACTGCAGAATATAAAAATAAAAAGTTCAGGCTAGTTGGGATAAATTTTGAATTTTAAAGATATCAAAAGATGTCCCAGATTTCACCTCAACATTCTGATGAAAGTACTCTGTATTTCACAGGTAAAGAGGATTATGCTCAACAAGCAAGAACAAAACTTCACCTTTCTGCAGGTAGGTACAATATATCTTTCTTTCTTTCTATAGGCACAGTATTACGTAGTTTATTGCATCTCTGGCGTCCTGTAGTGGGAAGCATTTCATAAACAAAGGCTAGCTAGTGGCTCACATGTAAATCCTAGCTACTAAGAGGCAAAGATCATGAGGACAGTGGTTTGAGGCTAGCCTGGGGAAACAGTTTGCAAGACTCTATCTCAAAAATACCCAACGCAAAAAAAGGGCCAGTAGAGTAGTTCAATTGGTAGCAATTGTGAAGCCCCAAGTTCAAAACCCAAGTATAGACAAAAACAAAAACAAAAATAAAATTAAAAAAAGGATGTCTGATATCCTTTTAGGAGAATCAGAACTGTCAGTTCTTTTAACACAGACAACTGTGAGTTGAGATATTCACAAGTCTTTTGGAACATCAGCACATCCTTAACCTCCTAAATTCAACTTAAATTGAACTTAAGAAAAGACTTAAAATTAAGGACTGCGGGGCATGACTCAAGTGGTAGAGTGCGTGCCTAGCAAGCACAAGTTTCTGAGTTCAAATCCCAGTACCACCAAAAAAAAAAAAAAAG